TTTAAACTTCTCCTTTCTTCTTTTTTCTTCTCCTCCTCCTTTCTTTCATCATCTTTCTCCTCCTCCTCCTCCTCTTCTTTATTCTTCTCCTTTCTCTTCTTTCCTTCTTTTTCAGATTATCTTGAAAGTATGGTTTTTGGCAATCTATTCTTAGATATTTTTTGCTTTTGTAAAGATATTGTGATAGTTATATATATATATATATATATATATATATATATATATATATATATATATATTTTTTTTCTTTCTTTCTTTTTTCTTTTCTTTTCTTTTCTTTTCTTTTCTTTTCTTTTCTTTCTTCCCCATTCGTCCCGGGTGTCACATATATAAGACACCGGGAAAAATAAACAATGTCGGGCTGACCGCCAGTGCGATGCTGTCTCGGGACTGCACTCCGAGGCAGAAGCGGCGCGCGGCCGGGCGGGCGGACAGACTCCAGGGAAGCTCCGCCTGCCGATTTTGTAGCTGCCCAGATTTTTTTTATTTTGGCTACAAAATGTTGATGGATTTTAGTAAGCCATTGTTTTTTTCTTTCTTTTATGTAGTGAGGAACTTGAAGAAGCACCAAAGCCAAAAAGAAAAAGGATAAGAAAAATGTCATCATCATCTGATGAAGGAGACGGTGATGAAGAAAATAAGGTTTGTACAAATTTCTTATCAAACTTTTTTTTTATATGTGTGTCTCTGATCTATGGAATGTATTGTCATTGGTGAAGGAATGTATACACATACTTATCATATCCTTATCAGTACTGCCAAAACCAATATTTTATCAGTATTATTGACAAGATGATAGATAAAACCTACATATTTCCTTTTTCTCTGCTACACAGTGTGTGTGTATATATATATATATATATATATATATATATATATATATATATATATATATATATATATATATATATATATATATATATATATATATTTTTTTTTTTTTTTTTTTTCTACTTTAAGCTCATTTGATGCTTTTAAGATTACCAAAGCAAAAGAGAATTTGAAGAGAGAGAAATAGATACAGATTCAGAGAGTAATTAGAACTGCTGATAAGAGTATACCTGATATTGAATATCTGATTAGATATTCCTTTTCGTTAAAATTGCATATGATATTTATTTGCACCCCAGGAGGATTCCCCAAGTAAACACCGCAAAATCCGCCGTGTAATAAGGGATGAAGACCTAATGGAGACCACTAAAAATGCCACACAAGAGGAAGAGGAACGAAGAAAGCGTATTACAGAAAGACAGAAAAAGGTGAGCTTATACCAGAAAAATAATAAAGTCTGAATGTTGTTTTTATGATAACTGATTATTAACAATAACCCTTAAGAGTTTCAGATCTGGAAAGTGAATGTAAAAATGGTTCAAAAATTGCTTTCTTCAAATAAACTTGGGGTTACATCATCTGGTCAGTTGCCTCAAGGGGTGTCTGAATCTTTTAAAAGATAATGATAATGATAATAAGATTTATATATCCTGATGCAAAAATTGTTTCTAATCTGTAAAACAGTTAAGAAGGTAATTTTATACTCAATTATAAATAGTTCCTCTGCCAGTGAGAAGTACTATCATTGCCTAAGTGCCATTTTTTATTAGCAGAGAGTCTGTTTCTTTATATATTTTTTTCTATTTTTTACAGTACAATCAAATATTTGAGATCGATGTTGAATCAGATCAAAAGGACCTTGGGAAATTGGTTCTTGATTTTGACCCTGACACCAAGAAGGAGCTTGTTTCTGTAGATGAAAAGTTGGTCAAGTTCTTAAAACCTCATCAGGTTTGTGTATTACATGTTTTCATTTTTTATTTGTTTATGATATGGCTGGAAAAGGCCTAAAACTTTTTTTTTTTTTTTTTTTTTTTTTCCTGTAACCTTTTTTTCCCTATTTTGCAATATATACAAAAATTATATATCTAGAATATATTGCTTTATTGATATCACTTTATCATCAGCATTTGGAAAAAGAATTTGAAATCATAGCTATAAAGTATGCCATTTAGTTATATTTATTTGTGATCTTTACCATCATTAATTCTTTTGCAAACATTTCTGTTTACAGTTCAAAGGTATCAAATTTATGTGGGATGCAACCTGTGAGAGCATAGAAATGTTAAGCAGTAAAAGAGGCAGTGGCTGTATCCTTGCACATTGCATGGGTCTCGGAAAGACTTTGCAGGTGAGTGTAAATTTCATGGTATTAGTTCACATCTTCCTTATGCATTTGTGATTTAGACTTCGTAAGTATCTTTTGATACTGACTTCTGTTTGACATAGGTATATCTGGTGATAGATTACAGCACGTGAGCAGTAGTAAATAAGTCCCTTAAGAAACAAAGGAAATATTATGTTATAATTACATTAAGCAAGCACCCCACTGGGCCCCCACGAGGTTATTTGGTATGTGTCTAATCATTTTCCTGCCAGTATACCCCACCTCCCCATAATGTTACATCTCAGAGTATGTTGATGGAATGTCAAAGGCCTAGATTTTATT